TGTTTTGAAATGTACGATGCAAGGTTGGTAATTTTCCGAGCCAAGTTTTTTCTTGGATACATGAATGATCTAAACGTAATGGTAATTTAAGGTTGGTTAAGGATGGTAAAGTTGAATGTCCTTCCAATAGCTAATGTCATACAAGAACTGTGTTGAGGATTACATTAAAGTACTTGCACACTGAAAAAAACACATCTGGATACGACGGGAAAGCAAAATTAAGAGGCCAAATTGACATGTATCGCTCACCTTGATATTTGAAAAAAAAACATGGCAATATTCTTATTAAAGTAATATGGCAAATAACACCCCTGGGATAGGACCAGTCCCCGGGGTAAGCCTTTGTGGCCATTGTGTACCCGATTCTTCAAACCCATCTATTGTGTTCATTGTTATAGAATAGGGATTTTAAATGTTCCTATATTATAACTCGGAAACTAAGTCTCCTCACAACGTAGCAGACACAATGCCGGACTCTGGTAGCATGAGTGGGTGTGTCTCTTTATGACAACAATTGTATACATAGTTACATGTATGAGGTGGGGATCTCGACTTATTCGAAGCTGTATTTATTTATTTATTGAGGTCTTAAAGGCCAATCAACACAGGAGAGGTCTTACTAAAAGATAAAATATTCAAAATGTAAACATGAAGAGCAAACGTGGCTATGGTAAAATAGATCTTTTTGAACAATTTTCAGGTAGATAAGAATTGATGTGATATTCGCCGTTTTGAAAAGAGATTTGAGATTTGTAAATTACTATAAAAAAATGTTTTATGTTGGCCGAAGGTCAACAACCCATAGCATATATATATGTACCATAAACCCATACAATCAATCAATCCTTCAACTCGAGGAAAAAGTTGATATTATTAGACAGATATCCTTGTACCTCAACGGGTGTTGTGCTATGATGTAAGATATATCCTGACCATTATGAAACTTCATACGTGTGCACCGATTACGTGTCGATCAGTTATTATGCAGAATTTGGTACAGGTTTTTGAAATCAAACCCGAGACTAATCTGCTTAATGGAAATAACAGTATTTCTTTTAAATAAAGATGTGTCAATACAAACTAGGTAAGCCCTGAAAATGAGTAAGATGAATAAACTGCCAAAACTTAAAGTTATTAAACATTCAGACTGAGATTTCTGGAACTAGACATGATAATCTAACAAGAATGTAGTAAATGCATCTGACGGCATTTGATCAAATAATAAAGAGATACCATTTAGAACGAGTTAATCTAGCCACATTTCAATTATACCGAAATTGAGGCCAGACGCACTTCTCATGCATGCAAGGTCTGTTAATTTTGATGGATGAATGACATGTATAAAGGCCAGGGTACGTATACAAACTGAGTTATAATCCCAATACCAGTAATACAGTGTGATAGGTCACTATATCAACCTCTACACCTATTGATCATCAATATAATTGTCGTTTTCATTCACTTCGAATTCAAAAACGGCATTTTATTTTTGAACTATTCCACTAATTTTGTGTTGTACTTTATGCCGGAGCATATCCCAATATTTTCAAGTAGATTTTAACAATGGTAGCGCTGAACTTTCACCTTTTTAGAAGATTTGTTTGCCGAGCCTCGGGGCTCTAAATAAATTGTGTATTCAGACTTCATACCTAAGAATTGAAAACTGATATCGCGAGTGCAGTGTGCTGGAGGTAGTATGTTTGTGCATTTCCCTCAGTGTAATAGCGCGGATATGATGTCGAGTATTTCCCCACTAAAATATTATGGCGAAAGCACCAATCACAGTATTCAAACTAGTCACGTTGCAATTCAAATGAAGACATCGAAATGGTTTAAGAAGAAGAGAGACGATATCATGATGTTGCAATGGAGACAGCAGACCATTGTTGGAAGAAGACGCCAGATTCTACTGGGGCCCCCACTCATTCTGTCTGCGCACCTGCAGTAATATCTAAATATCTGCGTATGTGAATCAAAGCCTGCATAATTAGACATGCATCCTGCTGACATATAACAACGACAGAAGATGACGATCTTTCGATAACAAGTCACAGTTTAAATACAATCTAGTTTACAATTAAATACGAAGCTTAACGTGAACTTTATGTATCATTGAAAAATTGTGTAATTTTTTCTGCAATGTCGTTAAAATAGAAACCACTCGGTCCATTGTAGTGACTACAATAAGCGTAAGTTCTCTATTCATAGTTCCAGTTTTATTACACAGGTACTGAATAAGTAGGTAAATAATGCATGCGATAAACGTTGAACACCATACAGACTTGTAATAAAGCAAGCCATGTATTGTAAATGTACAATATCCTTATAAGAGCAACTAAAACGACGAAGGACTGGCTGGTCATATTATTTATGAAGATTTAAACAGTTTCTTTCAACACGCTTACACGCTTTGCGCTCCTGATAATAATCTCACAGACCTGAAAGATTGGTTTTGGTTTTATATTGTTTAACGCCCTAATTACTGCTATCTAACTCTCATTATGTAATTATCAGCCTGTATACAGACACGGGGTTAATGAGAGTAAGACAAGCTTTATAAATCGCCCATCGCGAGTATTTTTTTTTTACTTTCATATTGTGAATACAGAAATACAAAATACAAAATTCCTGATTGCGGCCAATACTTTGGATTGCCATGAATTATCAGGTCACAATGGTAGATAATGTCACAAAGCTTAGTTGCATGACGTTAACATTAAAAGATTGGCCAATGCGATCATATACAGGGTGTTACCCACTTGTGTTTAACCGAACATGCTAACCGGCACCTAGAGGGTTTATCCAATGAGACGGAAGAGAGTAAACACACAGTGGCTGTGGTAGAATACAAGGTGACGGCTGTTTACCATTTGGTTAACATCATTTAATCGCACACAACAACTATATAGGTATTCTGACATAATTAGACAATTAAATAAATATTTACATGTTCAATGTTTACCAACGTTGTACATTTTAATAACTTTTTGGTATCAGATAGGAGGTTTGGCTTTCCGATACACCGCGGGAGTTAGTCGAGCATACTTGGGAGTGAATAATTACACAGGGAAGCTAAGGTTCTAGAAGTATACGTTTGTAAAAGAATGCTTGGTTGACTTGAATAAGAATAAATGTTTATATTCTGAATGGAATCCTAACTTCTGTGTTGTCAATACACTTCGACTTGGAAGCATTTTGCTTACGAAGTTTGCCGTCATTTTCGCCATACTTGTAAATTGCCTACGTCTTTCTGAGCCGATGCGCATTGGTGTTAAAGCTGCAAAAACAACCACTAGTTTTACTCGAAACAAAAATGGTGCGACCTTATGCAAACAATAAAACATAACAATGTAGCAGAGTCCATGGGTGTATGCAAAAATCAGGTTGTCTAATATTTCCGTTACCAATACAGATGACACTAATTATGTTTCGCGGATACATGTTCCGCCACCATGTCCTTTACTTATTATTCTTTGATACCGTGAACGATATGATTTCAAAAATACAATTTATCAATTTTGGTGAATTGTATTTTTGTCCTTATGCCTTTCTTCCTGTTTCTTGCTGTTTTGGAATGTACGATGCAAGGTTGGTAATTTTCCGAGCCAAGCGTTTTCTTGGATACATGAATGATCTAAACGTAATGGTAATTTAAGGTTGGTTAAGGTTGGTAAAGTTGAATGTCTTTCCAATAGCTATGTCATACAAGAACTGTGTTGAGGATTACATTAAAGTACTTGCACACTAAAAAAAAAAAAAACTGGATACGACGGGAAAGCAAAATTTAGAGGCCAAATTGACATGTATCGCTCACCTTGATATTTGAAAAAAATACAAAAAACATGGCAATATTCTTATTAAAGTAATATGGCAAACAACACCCCTGGGATAGGACTAGTCGCCGGGGTAAGCCTTCGTGGCCATTGTGTATCCGATTCTTCAAACCCAGCTATTGTGTTCATTGTTATAGAATAGGGATTTTAAATGTTTCTATATTATAACTCGGAAACTAAGTCTCCTAACAACGTAGCAGACACAATGCCGGACTTTGGTAGCATGAGTGGGTGTGTCTCTTTATGCCCAGCAATTGTATACATAGTTACATGTATGAGGTGGGGATCTCAATTTATTCGAAGATGTATTTATTTATTTATTGAGGTCTTATAGGCCAATCAACACAGGAGAGGTCTTACTAAGAGATAAAATAATCAAAATGTAAAAATGAAGAGCAAACGTGGCTAGGGTAAATTAGATCTTTTTGAACAATTTTCAGGTAGATAAGAATTAATGTGATATTCGCCGTTTTGAAAAGAGATTTGAGATTTGTATAAAAAAATGTTTTATGTTGGCCGAAGGTCAACAACCCATATATCTATAAATATGTACCATCTCCGAGTGGTCAACCTCTAACAATATCCTCGCCAGTATTGACATACATACCCGCTAAACTGAAGTCGATCCACCTGACTGAAAATAACACATACATTCAAAAGATATCTGGAGATAGTGATAGGTCTGGTCTTTTCAATTTCTTTTGAATTTTCTCAACAATTTGATAGGCCTCACCCGCGTGTATCATGAAGCTCAATAAATTATTTAAACTCGCCATTGAAAGGTTCAGTGTCAAATATGTTGAAGGTGAAATGTCAGGTATTTAACACCGCGTTACTTTATTTGATGAAAACTATCTCGATTGTATTTCATTTCATAAATATTTTTGATATGGTTTGAAATTTAAGGTAAAAGGAATTTCAACCATTAACTTTTGTGTGATATACACAACAGTTCTCGAAGTATTCTTTCCATGCGATCAATAAAACCGGTTGTGTTAGAAGATTTTAATCGATGGAAAACTGAAAAGCAAACCATAATAATAAACAGGGATAGAAGAAAACTAGACACAACTATATTAAATGCTTGTATAATATCACATAGAAATAAGTATCATATTAAACCATTAATACACATATATATTACAGATTATGATGATAGCTTTTTACCTTGTTAAGGGGAAAAATCCACACAACAGCTAAGGCCACTAGGTCGGGTGATTAGGCGAACCACCACTGAAGAGGAAAGAGACGGGAACCGAGAAATAAAATAAAATCCAAGTGTTTCATGCTTCAATGTACATGTCCCCTATGCAGGATTCACATAATATACCTCACGTTTCTGAAGGGACCCTAATTTAGTCGCTTCTAAAGTTCATATGAAGGTAGATGGAGTAGGCGGCCTATTATGTCTCATATCCAGTAGTGGTAAGTTAATGTCCATACATCGACTTATAAAACTCCATTGACAATCATGATATGCATTATCTCCGGTAATTGCAAATACATAAATCATATATGAATAAATTTAACATGAAAACTGTAAACCGTGATTCTAATTTATTTACCAAAGGTGAGAAGTAAATATGATTAACCGAAGGTGAGGGATAAATCAGAAAAAAACAGATCGTGTTCTAACTTGTAGAATCATTAGACTGACTAAGTGATATTAAGCAATAACTTTATCAGTTAATGAATTGACAAGAGATGTCGCTAGATATGTTAACGATATTGAGCGAACAATATTCGAAAAGTCAACACAAGTGTGGATACGTTTATGAAAATAAATCTTTTTGGCATGCTACATTAATTTCCAATTGTATAGATGCAATCACTTGTACGTGTCTGATGTCTATCTTTTAACCGAAAAAAAATAATTATGATGTTTCTTGTGACGTCAGGACTATTATCAGGATTTTTCAGGGGCGGATCCTGGGGCCTTCAACGGCACCATGTCAATTGAAAATGTAAACATCAGAAAAAAAGGTTGATTCGATTTGGCGTAAGCATTACATCGGCCTCAATTTGTATCGTTCATGTAGGATAAACAGTAACTCAAAAAGATGTGATTTCGGGTCATATGTCCGTATGATAACCTCCACATCCACAGACCCCAAGGACGTATAACAGGGTAACTGATATTCAAAATCAATCCCCTCCCACACCCCAGTCTTCTTGCGTGCTGACGCTGTAAAAATGAGCAAGATAATACCAAAATGTCAACATAACCATGATTCGAAATAAAAATCGATAATAAGGGCAAAATGTGAACAAAGGACAGATGTGCGCAGATACCCTATTCCGTCTTTTCGTATTGCAGAGTTATCTGCTCTTGTGAGCAGGGATTGATTGTTACGTCATTAGTTTGTGTGAAAAAATTACGTCGTTTTCTCAAAAAATGATGACGTTACTCTCACAGACAAATGACGTAACAATCAATACCTGCTCACAAGAGCAAATAACTCTGCAATACGAAAAGAAGGAATAAAGCGTACAAGAAGAATACGACCAGGACCAGGTGAAAAATTAGCGCATTCTGCACAAAAACATTGCTTATCCAATATACAAACAGAAGTATTGCTTTGGTTGTATTAGGTTTAACATGATATCAACAACAAAGATCAATATACGACGTTCTGCCATGTCTGCAACTCAAGCGTATTTTGGTGTATGTGAAAACATCTTTACTGAATAAATTATTTTTAATGATAAATTTAATCTATATTAGCAGTTCTTAACAAGATAATTACGATCCATAATATCTATAAAACGATTTATTTATTGGTCAGTCCATTTAATGAATATAATTTGAATAGAATAGCGTGAATGTGTTTAGGCATGTATATACTTAAAATGTGTATTATACTCCTTTCTGCTTATCTACACAGGAACCCCTGAAGGTAAGAGATTAAGAAAAGAATTTATTACATTTTTGCCGGTGAAATATCGAATTCTATCAAATTAATAAAACTGATATCTTTCACACTGTGACAAATATCAAAAGTGGTATTTTCACAGTGTGAAAATATCACTTTTTTATATTGACCAATCTTCAAAGGCAACTATTTTTTGATCAGATTCAAATGAAGCGACGGTAGACTAAGTGGTTGTTATGGTAAATGTTTGGTACCCACACTTAAGTATTTATATAAATATTCAATTAATAACATTTTTACAAGCAATCATACCAGAAAATATTAGAAAACGTCGGAATTGCGTTGAGTAACCAATTCAAAATGGCGCGCAGCCTTGTTTTCAAGCGTGACGTCATTATAATATGGCGCTAATTATTACGCTTCTGATTGCCACCGTTTTTTAATGCATTACGTTTTCATGCTTTATGCTTTAAAAATGTTATAAATAGAAAATTTAATGGTATCTTTAGTAATAAGAAATATGTTTCACTCGTGTGGCTTATATTTTGATATTTTTCACTCGTGCTGCGCACTCGTAAAAAACTATCAAAATATTAGCCACACTCGTGAAATAAATTTCTCATTTCTGAAGACACCACTAAATATCCTCTATATACATTGTAACAGCTGTTATCAATTACTTGTGGGAGGCAGCTAATGCTAGCACCCAATGCAGAATTGTTGACTGACGTTTGTACCATCTACCCGATAATTAAAAAAGTGATAAATGACCTAAATCTCCTACACCAATAACAACATTTGGGATATTTATATTTTTTCTTTGCCTTCTAGTGAGGATGGCAATGGGCTCTGTACCTTGACCGAGACATACCAAATGCTTTTACAAAAGTAATTTCAATCCCTTACGCTCAACATGTCAGTCAGTAACTGATAACGACTGTTTAACACGTTGTCGGTATAGTGTGACCTGATGGGATATAGTGCTGGATCCTCCAGCATAGTGTTTTGGTCAGGTAGTACTCGGCATCAGATCTCAGCAGCCACAAGTAGTCCAATACACAAATCTGCTGTGCCTTATTTGTTTATTTGTTTGTTTTGGGTCCAACATCCATGCAACAGCTTCGGTCATTACAGACACAATGGAAAATATAGAGAAGAGAAACGAGAACAGTACGATATAGATCCTAAGTGTTGCATGCAGGGCAGCATATACACAAAATTGGTTGCTTCTGACGCGTCCTGTGCAGAAGTCACAGTAAAAAAATACTGTTTCTACAGGCGGTCCTTCATCAATCACCTGACGCAGTTGGATACAGCTGGCCTATTCCGTCCTTGAACCTGCGCGGACAAACATGGCGTCTCATTAATGTTTGCTTGTTTCTATGTACACTACTGTATATAGGCAAATTGTTTTTAAGTAAACGAGGTTGATGTTGCTGTGTTTGTGTAAATTTTCCCAGGATGGTTTATTGCAAAATAACGATCACTTTAATTTCGAACATATCAGTAATTTCATGTGTTCGATGTCTGTTTGCCGATTACAATAGTTTAAGTGTGTACGACTGATCGGAAAATAAACACTATTAAAGTATTTGTATATGATTTATCCATGGTTAACAGACCATTCAACGTGAATGACATAGTGAAGTTGTATATTCAGGTACTGAATCAAATCACTGGTATTGATCAAACACATGGCGATAGGTTCGGCTAGATTCCTGTCATTATTACATATAGACTGTTGTAACATAATGACTGTTTTGACTGTAAGGGTTTAATTTGAATTTAATGTAATTATTTGAGAAATGTTTGAACAAGATATCTACATAAGATTGGCAATCTGTACACCGTTACGGTGTAATCGGTTCCCATTGTGTTCAATGTGCTTGCATATATACAAATATACCTGTTTAATCTAAAGCGTAATCCAAGCCCTCAAAAGGCAGGGGTGTCAAGTTACAATGTAAAACTATGCAAGCTTTACGAATCCGGCGCTCATTGTTCCTATCCTTATAATAAACAAACAATTCACTAACAATATGCCTACATAGTCTATGACAGATTTTGTATTTTTGTGTAAGGTCCTATCTATGACAGGTGGTGTATTTGTGTGTAAGGTCCTGTTCTATGACAGGTGTTGTATTTGTATGCAAGGTCTTAGTCTATGACAGGTGGTGTATTTGTATGTAAATTCCTAGTCTATGAAAGGTGGTGTATTTGTGTGTAAGGTCCTAGTCTATGACAGGTGGTATATCTATGTGTAAGGTCCTGTTCTATGACAGGTGGTGTATTTGTGTGTTAGATCCTAGTCTATGACAGGTGGTGTATCTGTATGTAAGTTCCTAGTCTATGACAGGTGGTGTATTTGTATGCAAAGTCCAAGTCTATGACAGGTGATGTATCTATGCGTAAGGTCCTAGTCTATGACAGGTGATGTATCTATGCGTAAGGTCCTAGTCTATGACAGATGTTGTTTTTGTGTGTAGAGTCCTAGTCTATGACAGGTGGTGTATTTGTTTGTAAGGTCTTAGTCTAGTACAGGTGGTGTATCTCTTTGTAAGTT